ATAAGAAAATGTTCAAACTGTTATTTGCTCTCGAGCAGTTATATATATATACGCGGCTCAGCTTCAATCTCGTCACGCGGTAAAAGGTCAGCTAATCTCAGCGAGTCAAGTACTTAATAAGAGAAGTTTCGCCCACTGGTGTGTGCGCGTGTGTACGTGGGCCTCAGATATCCTTCGGCATCGATCCTAATCTATATTACGCTGCGTACGGTGAACGCGATCGGCGAGATTTCGCAAGCGACTCTCGCGGTCGATCTGCGCGCGATCGAAGTTACATCGCATTTACATCTTGCCGCGCGTTGCGCGCGCTATCGGCCGATTGCTCGAGTGAGATAACGCCGAGAGCGATTCGCGATGGATCGCATGCCGAAGTCGGGACAATTTGATATACGTTGTCGGCTACATTTCCACCCGGCCGACGCGTTACCCGCCAACGACGACACCGGCCAACCGTCGAGCGGCTTGGTTTGTGTAAAAGGATACGCGCGAACGCGAACGAACCGAATTTGCAGGATTGCAGGAGAAATTGCGTCTTTAGCTCCCGGGCGTCGGAACGACGTCTCTTAGACGTACGCACGACGTACGAGCTGAACGCGTGTCTTATTCGTCGCAAACTCAACTCAACCTTCTCGCATTTTGTAATAATGAAATTGTAAGAAGTATGCGTGCATGCGTTCCACGCGTGGGTTCTGCGCATGTGTTCTGAAATTGTAAGAAGTATGTGTGAATTAAGCGATAATGTATACTTCCGTAGGATAGTCCGTAGGATAGTCAGTTCATGACGGTACTGTTAGGAAAATAATAGTTAAGGATATATTGTTAATAATTCAAAATGATGGAAAATTATGAAAAAAATTATTGTGATATTAAACACTAATATGTAGATATTATATAAGAATTTCAGAATTATTGACCATTTTATTTTGAAAGTACAGTAGTGTAGAGTTCATAATTTATAATAATATTCGAAATAATATATGTTTATTATATATTATATATTAATAATATATGCATATATTTAAACAAAACTAAATAATCAACGATCTTACAGTTTTTTATAATATTTCTACGTCTCTTTTATCGTCTTTTTGCTGCTCATTAAAACCGTGACAACAGTTTGATTGCTAGAATTGAAAACGTGATATCAGAAACTGTTTTTGCACCTTTAACGTATATAAATAGTGCTGCTTCTAGATTATGCGACTTCAATTATCTTAGCTTCGGTATGGTCAATCTTTTCAATTTTTTTTTTTATAGATCGTATTTCGGCTAATATATTGTTATAATTTGAAAAGATTCCTAAGGAAATAAATTTACAAGTCAATCATATTTTAAATAGATGCGTACGTCCTTTCTACAAGTCTTCCTACGATTCTTCCTACAACTCCGCAAATTAAATAAATGCCGTAGCGAGGGATTAATGAGGAGAGAGCGAAACACGATAAAAATTATTCGAACGACGCAGACCGATCGACCAATCCAGACAGGTCGAGATATCGCATCGGTAATCAGATCGTACCGGTTTGTAAATTATTATCGCCATTCAACCGAAATTACAGTTTGTCGCGCAGCAGCGAGAGTACGACTGTGTCTCTCGTTGACACGTCGAAATTCCTCGGCGGAATGATCCGGAAGACGCTCAATGAAGCAACAAATATTGAAACGGGAGATCGTTAGTTGCGATAGACTGATCGTCGGTGCGCGCTTCGTAGCAAAATCGGCGCGTCGGCGCAAAAATTTCGTCAGAAATAGATTTTCGCACGAGGAAAAGATTTCGATGACTCATGCGGCATTTCTCTCCTTTTTCTCCGGTTTTTTCCTCGAGCGTCGCCGACATTAGCATCGTTTGCATAATGCGAAACTCGCGATTAAGCTAGCGCACCTGCCTCGCGCGGGCAGAACTCCCGGTTACCTGCAACATCATCGCGCGGCGCGCCTGCCGCACGTCGGACGCCTGATTAATTATTCAATTGCGAGAACAATAGCGCACGACATTAGCCAGTTCACAGACTCTGCTTATCTATATCAAGGCCGACATCCGGTGTACTCCGAGGCAATTCGGCAAACCGATTATCGCGGATATAACGGCGCGAGAAGGAGAAAAGCAGGCCGGATTTTTTAACGTCGATTTTTTCCGTCGTGCCGCGAAAACGCGTTCTACCGAGCTGCGCGTATGCGTGCACTTTATTCAGATATCTCGCCGAGCGGGGCTACAGGTGTCACGCCAAAAAGCCGTGCATCTCAGGTAGAAAGCATTTACTAATTAATAATAAGCGGACCGCAAATATTGATCGTTCGACGGGACTGCTATCGAAGTGCAAAGTCGATTCAGGTGTGTTAACCCTTCGTTCTCTCTCTCTCTCTCTCTCTCTTTCACTCTCTTTCTCCCTCTTTCTCTCATACAACGCGAATCTTATTGATTCACTTTAAACTCATTCGATGTTGCGGGCCATCGCACCTGAAAATGCACTTCTCCAAATTTCCACGAATTTTCTCGCGTTACAAGTATACGAGCGATATTTTTAACGAAGGGCTTTTAACAAAGCGAGTTCGACGGAGGGGGTTTCGAGGAACGGTTACACGTAACGAAATCGATCCTTTTCGCGAGTAGGTCGGTCAAATTAAGAAAATCAATACTTTTCTTCGAGAAATCTATGTGATACGCATTAAAAATTCATCGACGTTTTAAAATAGTATCTACGTGTGCAAGATATAGGATAAATGTCCCCATTACCGAGTTTGACTCTGTTACTGATAAAACCCAATTTTTTAACAAATTACGAATGATAAAGTGGTCAAAAATAGTACGATGAATTTGTTTCTAAAAATTGAGAATATTAGCATTCATATCATTGTATATAGTTTATCATTAAATTTTTTTACATTTAAAGGATGTTTTCAAATCATTTAATTTCAACTGTGTCCTTTCTTTAGTTAAATATACTAAGTATGGAATACAAATACAAGAATTCGTAAACATTTTTTTCGAATTTTGGCATAATATTAAAATTTTCTTCCTCAAAATAAAACTGTATATTTTTAATTGGAGCAATAAAATGTGTATCCTAGTTATATTTTATGAGAAAAAGATAATTAATATTTATATTAATTAAATGGTAAAATAATCTTTTGATATATTCAATCGGGATTTCCTTCTAACCTCGATAGTGAGGCCTTTTGCCCTACTCGAAAAATTTTTCGCGGTGGAGTTCCCGCGAAATGCCCGGGCTATTTCTCTCTTTAACCTCCACGAAGGGAAAGCATAAAATTCTCCCGTCTGACGACACATGCTCTCTCCGTGACGATCGATTCAGTTTAGATTGCCGCGGCGAGATTCGACGCGTACATGAGTCGACGACAGACGACGTGTCGAAAGGCGGCATGAGTTACAGCTTGATTCACGACATGTCGCCAAAAGCGGGTCAGAATTTTATCAGTCACCGTGTCGGCGAGAGATAGGAGGATTTCACAAGTTCCGAACGTTTTCGAGAGACTTTACGATCGTCGCCTTGAGACTTGACGCGCGGCGAATCGACTGGAAACCGCTAATGAATTCAACGAATTAAATTAAAGCCTGTTACGCGCTGGTAATAAGCGACCGTGTGATTCTAAAAAATGTTCCTTTTTCTATATAAACTATAATGCGCCAAGTGGCGTTATAATGATTGTGTAAAAATTGCACAACAAATTATTAGCCGTAATTAAATGCACAGTATCGCAGATGTAGGCGAAATTACGTCACCAGCGCGCAAATAATACTAAATTATATGCCGGTGGAGAATAGTGTTACACGATCTCGTGATATTCACTATCTCTCTCGATCGCTGCTTCAAAGGTAATAAATACACCTCGAATTGCGGTGACGCTGCCGGTCGCATCAATAGTCGTTATTTGAAGCTTACCTCAAGTGAGAAATTTGAATCTGAATTTTGAGTTAAATATCTGAATGTCCCAATTGGATCATATGATGTGTATGTGATATTATATTTGTAATCCTAATTAATTCGATCCAGCTAAGGGTGGAAGCTTCAGAAATAGTTCAGTTGGCATGATCAACTTTACGTTTGTATTTTAACATCGTGTATACATATTGATAAACAAATGCCTAAAAAGTCAAAAAAATATTTACTCGGTGCGTACTAATAACATATTTACATATTATATATTTATTAATTATACATATTAATAAAGTATTATAAAAACCACTAAAACTTCTTCTAAAATTTGCCGCAGCCAGGAGCAGTATTTTTCGCAACATAAGAAACGGAGCAAAAAATAATGTATCATTTAATTTATTAATTAGAGAAGATTTTAAAGGTTTTTATAATACAGAAAATTACATTACTGGAATTTAAGAATTGATTTATGCGTAAAAGGCTAATTTGCTATGAAAAATTTGTACGAAAGATTCTTCGGTATGTTCGTAATTTACGATGAACATTAATTTCTGTTCACAATAATTTACACATATCGCCACAACAGTCGGAATTTGGTTCTTACTGGCCATTATTTAACTAACAAAGAATTAACAGCTTATAAGAGCCAAATTCCCGCTATTTTAGCGACACATGCAAATTGTTGTGGAACGATATAAATGTTAATCGTGTATTATGATTCACTGATAGAGCCATATATTAATATATTTGTAAATATTAATTAAAATTATATATCACATATTTACTATAACATATTTATTTATCTATTTATTTGAATCTAAATTCTTTTTACTAAATAGAATAAACAATTGCTTTCCCATAAAAAATTACGGTTTTAAGAAGATGTATAATAATAATTATTGCAATTATTATATTTTATTATTTGGAAAACACGTTTTTCCAATACAAAAATATATATATTAGTGAATATATTATTAATACCCACCGAATAAATATCTTTATTTGTCACTCTTTATTTTAATGTGACAATTCATAGCGGAAAACGCTGGTCAATGGCGGACGATTGACGGTACGCATATATCAATGGCGACGTTTGGACCATACCTCGTGATTTTCCGCCTGTCGTTGGGATGCAAGGTGCGCGCCCTCTCAGGATCGAGCTCCATCAGTTTCTGATAAAGCTCCTCATTGCTCTCGTCACACGATCTCGCGTCGAATTTGCACTTTTTCTTCGGCGCGGCCTCGTCGCCGTCGCCCTCGTCATCGTCGTCGTCGTCGTCGTCGTTTCGTCGATCGACTTGCGCGCTGTATCGATCGTCCGATCTATTCTCGATCGACGCGCTCGGATTGGTCGCGCTTGAGTCGGCTTGCGCCGACAGTCCCTTCGGAGCAGGCAGCAGGTTCTTCCATAGCAGCGATTCTATGTAATAGTTCGTACCACCGACGACGACGGGTAGTTTCTTCTTGGCCAGCAGGTTGTTTATCTACATCGATAGAAGGAAGAGGAGAGAACAGTCGGGGCAGAACGTAGAAACGAGCGGGACCGAGCTACTCGCGCGAGAGACCATGGCTAATGATCGTATCAAGGTCTTCGCGGGGATCAGGGGCGTTTCGATTGGCTTGCCTTCGTCCAAGATCTTTATTTTACGAAGTCGACTTCGCGCCGATCCGTTACTGCTGTAGATTCGATCGTAGCGCAAACCGCACGATGCAATACCACAAATCCGACGTAATTATAACTATTGACGATAAACGCGACGTGCCGGCCGCGAGAGAGGCATCACTTTTCGACAATAACGTTACACTGACGAGAGGATTCTCTGCGTGTATGTGATCAGTTACAAAAAGGTCGCAACACTTTTTGTTTGATAAGTTTCGTTTTTTTTTTGTAAATCTCAAGAGATATTTTTTCCTATTGGGTACGAGATGCGTTGTGAAAGTCATAAAACAATGTTGCAACTTTTATGTGAATGACTATAGGCACACAAAATAAAAGCGCTACTCTCTAAAGTACAAATCAGTGTATTATCATTGAGAACAATCAATAGTCACTAGTGATCATAGTGAACATAGATAAGTATAGCACTGCAAATCAGTAAAATTTCGCTGCAAAAGTCTGTTAATAGCAGCAACTGTTTTCATCGGAAATGTCTAACTGCAGGGACAGTGAAAAAGATTATTTATTATTTATTTAAGATTATTTATTAAGATTATTTATTTCTCTTTTATCATCTTAATCCCACTCTTCAAGATTTGTCAATCGGTTTTGCCTGAAATATTTTTAAGTACATTTAATTGATTAAATTTATATCATATCTGAAAAACATGTTTATCTTGATGGAACTTGAGAACTCGAAACTCTTAGTTCTTGAGCATGCTAACAGCGATTTGCAGTGAATATTTCATTGAAATCAATGAATTATTAGATAAAAAAGTTAAATGGAAGAGTTTCCATTCAAAATTAATGAATACTCACTGATTATCAGTAACAGTAGAATATTGTTTTAATGATTCAATTAGTGACATTTTCACTGATTCATCTTGAGAGAGTAGATTTAAATAAATAATTACTCCAATACTTAACAAATTTTTGCTTGGATTAAGTAAATTTTACTTGAAACAAATAAATATTTGACCTGGATAATTTACTTGGGAAATACTTGGATCAAGTAAATATTTTAATGGAATGATTTACTCGGGAAATATCTTACCTGGATCATGTAAATATTTTCCTTGGATAATTTATTTGGAAAGTAGACCAAATAAAAAATAGTAGGAACAAGTAATAGAAATAGAAAATAGTAGGATCAAGTAAATATTACTTATCCAAGTGAAAATTTGCTGTAGAGCACTAGAGTAATTATTTATTTGAATCTAGCACTTTCTCTTATGCATAGTTTTCTAATTAAAAATGTTTCCATTAACACCTTGGAGCGTTCTGAGATGGACGAATATTTGTCATTGATCTTGCCTATTTAATTTAGTTCTCCTCAAAATTACTCGAAGGATTCTCTTAGTATTCTCGACGTTTTCGAAGAGGTGTCGCGGAGATATGAAGACGTCATCGCGCTCGTTAATTTACGTTCAGCGGGCAAAGAGGTCCACCACTCAATTTCGCGACGAAAGCGTAGCCTAACAAATTACGATTGCATCAGCTATTTATTTTCGGATTAATCCCTCGGAGCCGACGCGTCGATAAGTCCCTAATTATTCCAGGTCTCTATCGAGCCGATAAAATTCGCGAAATTCCCACTTGAGGTCCTAAACGGCTGTCACTATCGCGACGTCAACAACGCAGATATTAAACACCGGTCGTCTGCGCGGAACGCATGAAAAGAGAAGCGAAAAAAAGGACGAGAATGATGAGAGGATTACGATCGGTAGGGCCATCTCTCTGAAGTTCAACACGGTGAAATCTGTGATCAGCGGATCCACGATGTCCAGCATGTGGTGGGGCGCCATTAGTCTCTCCGCCGGGGTCACCTTCGCGGTAACGATATCCAGGCCCTTGTACACCTGCGAGAAGCCGGCAGAGAATTGGCAATAATTAAAAGTAAAATAATGAAAGGCCGGTGTGCACGCGCGCGCACGCTACGAAAGTCACGAGCATAACAGCGAATAAATAACGGATGAATAGAAAATAATGAAAGATCGAATGATTCCGTTAATTGCGACCGCTTGTGTCGCTGCTCTCTTCGCGGTCGGGGATAAACGCGTCGAATAATGCAGAGGCGCGGCCGTGTGTTGCCGTCGCCATGTGTGGGGTCGCTAATTCCTGCACGGAGGAACACATTTATTTGGATTTAATCATATTTCTTTCATCGAAATAAACTTGTCTTTTGGAATGGAGCGAACGAACGAATATTTCGTTCAACAAACGGGATAGTGTTTCTCTTAAACAATCATTATTTCTCTCCCTCTCGTACACCCTATACGGCAATTTTCCATCGCGATGCGCGACGCCCAAGCTCCAATAAATTAATTGCGCTTTTTATTCGCTCGCCCGCGTGGATCCGACGAAAATACCGTCGCCCTGTCAGGACCATTACTTTCCGCGGAGCATTCGTGTAAACGCTATAATTACACGTCCGCACGTTTTTCCTCCCGACGAATCGAACAAAACGGTTAAAACGTGCGGGACGAGCGAGTATAACCGGATACCTTTTTTAAAGGTCGATAGATGCTACGAACGCGGTTTCCGAGCTGAAGCCACCGCGCCGCCGAGCGGTTCGCCGCGGGATGCTTTAGTAAGGTGCACGACCGTAAAGACTCGGGAGATAAAGTTGACTTTCGGTAACAAGCCGATAATTAGAATCAACGAGCCTCGTCGCCGCGTATCTGTCAAATTTGCATTTAAAAGCGGACTTGCGCGGCGATATCCAATAAAACAATACGTAAACATACGTATACTGTAAATCCAAGTGTGATAAATACACACTTGCGTGTGTAAAATTACACATTGCGTTTGATTTGATTCTCCATACAAAAATTACATACTTTCCCGGCCCCCACGCGGTGAGAAAAACGTCATATGGATGCATCCCGACAATATCGCGGCAGACCTGGCACGCGGTTACGGAGAACCGGATCTCTTAACGAGAGCCGCCTGCGAAATCACGATCCCGGGTGATTAGAAGCGCGATTCGGTGTCGCGTGAAAAGTAAATAGTATCCTCCCGTTTCTTTATCGGCGCCGTTATTAGTAACGATCGCACGATACCCGCGGGAATGCGAGCGATTCGTTCGACCGGATACAGGCTGTTCCGGATCGAAGTTTTCAGGAGCGACCGAGAATCCCTGGCGATTTTCGAGAATGAAACTTGGACGAGGCGGAAAATTACGAGATGATGATGATGATAATGAACAGCGTTAAATTGTCCTGAGGTCGCAATCCTACAGCAGGTAGACTCAGAACTGGTCGAAAAGCCCACGCGCGAAACACCCTGTATTTCCGGATGATCGTCAACGATCGCTTGAAAGTCAATTCCTTTATTAAGTGCTCTTCGCGATGCATACCACTAACGATCCCACTCGTTAGCATAAGTGGTTCGATTAAATAAACGTTCCGCAATGACCGAATGCGGACGCGCGACTCGTATAAATATTGCGAATTAAATCAGAAGCAGTAGAGAGAAAGAGAAAGAAGAAGGGGGAGAGAGAGAGAGAGAGAGAGTGCGCACGCGGGCGTATGTGATCATCGCGTCATGCGTAGAATATATCAAATAACGAGCGTGCATTTAGCGCGGCGCGTTAATGGGATATTTCTGTGTTTATATGGATAATGGGAATGCGCGGCGTCTTTCTCCCTTCTCCCCGCGGCGTAATAATTAAATGCCATAAAATGGAAGCAGATCGCATCAACGGCGGTAATTTCGCTCTCGCTGATCGGTCCCCCCGATAATCAAATGGCTCGGAAACGTTTATTTATTCCGTTTGCAAAGTTAACCTTTCGCGGCGTATCACATCGGAAAAATATTTACTTTTTCCCGAGTAGAAATATTTCCGGAAAAACTATTAGCCAGAAACTAGTTCATGTTTACCGGCCAGGTTTTACGGTTTACAGGCTTTACAAGCTGGTCAAAAATTCGGCACAAACTAACCACCGAACCAAACAAATTAATAAATTATAGCTTCAGTCTAGTAGGTAATTAGTTTTTCTCGGAAATGTTCTACTCGGAAATTGATCTCAATGCACTCCGTCGCTCGATGCCGCCTTTGAAACTCACCGAATCCGTTCGTCGCCCCCGATGTGTCGTTTCGCGATATATTTCTCGAGCGATTTCGCGCCCGAATCACCGAAGAAAATCTCCGAACGCACGAGCGCGAATCCCGCGAGTTCCGTAATGCGACATTCCACGTAAGCATTTATTACGAGATACGGTAATGGGACAACTTTCCTTTCTGGAACGCGAACACTGAATCAATCGCGTTGAAACACGCTTGAAATACGTATTATATGCGATGGAGGAAAAAAGGATTGAGGCAAGTGTCTAACCTTCGTTCCACTTCGCTCGTCAGAGCGAGCGAGCGAGCGAACTTCGATCGGAAAATCCGCGCGCCTGCAACGGCGAACGCTTCTTTTTGCGCTTTTCTCTTGCAAGTCTCGGGGTTATTCTCATGCATGAGAGACGATGATATGACGAGATTTAGAGCGACGTGCGTCAGGCGCGCAGAATTAGCGCTAAATCGCGCTGCGATTATCTTTTTTCCCCGTCTTTTTGTTTTGTTCCTCGTAGATGATCGCCGGCGTCTCAAATAACTGCTGGCAAGGCACCGGTTCTCTCTCTCTCTCTCTTTCTCTCTCGTAATACCGATTTTTTAGTGAATAGCATTGCCAATATCGATTTGACACTGCTAGAACACTGGGACGATAGCAATTATATTAATGAGCAAAGACTCGAAAGACAATACTGTAACTGTATCGACTCCCAGTATTGCAATACTGGGACAGTACCGATTCCTAGTAACGATTACACTGATCTACAAATTTCGTATCCTGAATTGTATCCTTCTTGAATTTTAAATTTTTTTTTAATTTACAGACGCTCCCTTTTAATATGAGGTGAAAAGCATCGGAGACTCGTTAAAAAATCAAATCCGTTTTTTAATACTGAATTGATACCTCGCCAGTTTTCACTACTGGTCGAATATGTACCAATCTTACATATGGAGTTCTAACAGGCCAGCGCAAACGTTATTCTCATGCGAATCGCTGTCGGGATCGAGGAATTAGCGCGAGAAAGACGCCGGATCGGAAGGCCTGAGAAGTGCGATCGCGCCCGCATGGGTGTGCTGGCTTTAATGGACATTGTGCGAAGTATCGGCGAAATTCCCGGGGACAGCGAGCAGCTGCCGGCCGATCTACTAACTCCAGCTGCCGCTGGAAGTTCTCGCGAGGTCTGCCCGTTCCAAGCGCGTGGGTGGCGAGCGTAAAAACCGAAGCGATCGGAAACCGAACGAACGCGCGTGGGCGTTATCAAAGAGATAGGTGTTCTGATTAACGGCGAGTCGACGAGCACGAATTTTCGCATCGCTTTTCGCGCGAAACCAACAACGAGTGGACGGAGTTCGCGGCACTGCGGAGACGCTCGCGTGAGATTTCATCATTCGTCGATGGCAAAATAATAGAAAGTTCGAATAGAAATCGAACTGAATTTAATAACCGGTCAGGAATTCTGGTTACTCCCTACACACAAAATAATATTTACTGCATTCAAATTAATAAATGTCACTTGTTTTAAGTAGCATCTATTTGAATGCGGTATATATTCTTTTTTTTATTTGTTTCATAATTTTATGTATCCGCCAATATATCATAAGTTTATCATAAGCGTCAAATTTATTCGAAATATTTTCTGAATCCCAGCAAGTTTGGTACATTAATCAAGAATATTAAATGAAAACAAAGGCTTCATTTATTTAAATTAACAACATTTAACTTTTCTTCGATGAAGTTTATAGTATTTTTGATAAGAGAATAAAATTCTTCTCCCGAGTATACGTGATAATGAGCTTTTCTCAAATTTGTGATGAGTTTATTTTAAGACTACTTTATATCACGAAAACATTCTTTGTTGAAAATAATGATTAAAAAGAAAATAATATTCTCTGTATAATAAATTGTAAATTATAACTGTAAATTTTAAATTGTAAATTGTGTAAATTTTTCTCTATGTAAAAACTAGCCAGCTGGTCGACGCTTGTTTGGCAGTAACTAAATAATAAAACTAGCTAGTTTCTAAGTAGAAAACAAACCAGGACCTAGATAACTGTCAAATAAATGAGTAGAAAATTATATTTGTAGATGAAACTAGCTAAAAACTAGCCAGAAATTCGGATCGGACCAAACAGATTAGATAAATGGTATCTAAGTCAGTTTTTTCCCGGAAACATTTCTACTTAGGAAATTCCTGGATGCTTTTTGTCGCGTTGGTCTTTAAAGAAAAATAATCAAACTTTCAAGTTAGAATCAAAATTTCTTTCATCTTGAAATTTTAGTTAGAATACACTTAATTTCCCATGAACTTATGCTATTTATAAGATACTTCTTATAAGATAAATAATTACATTATTTGTCAATGTAACGGATTCGTAATTTGTCGATCTCGTTGATACTCGCAGTGAGAAATAATTGCTCACCAGGCCGGTTAAGTTGTTTCGAATTACGGAAATAAATGAAACGATTTCAAATAAAATATGAGCTTAATCTGTTGACTATATGAAAAATTTATTACGGATATCCAGGCGTCGGTATACTTACTTCACAAAAAGGTCTCGTACATTAAATGCTCGTCGAGAAACTCAACATCCAATTAATTTTCAATTCAATTAATGTTCACTCTTGAGAAACAGTCCGGTCTTGGATTTGCATGTTAATTGCGCGGAAAGACTCTCTTCATGATTGGGTTTCACATAACATTCTCTCTCACGGTGCTCTGACCGTCCGCAGATCGACACGTTTATCAGAAGCGATCAGAAGAGGAATGTAAAAACACACATTAGTAATGGTGTCTCGCC